GCTCACACTGGTGGAGTTCTGCAAAAGCACAAATCTTGAAACTTATCCATACATAATCTAAATTATTAATAGAGGAGAGGGATTTGGAGAGTTTTCTGAAACATGGAACATAAACAACAATATCCCATCAGACTTATTTGTATTTATCTAATTGGTTGTTACCTTCATTGTTGACATTATCCTGCCTGGTATGATAATTGTTGTTGACTCACAAAATCATGAACAGATATGCAGAGAGATTTTCTTGATGCAAATACATGGTATTCTACTAGATTGAAACTAATTCTTGTCTTGTCAGTTTGGAGGATCTTTTTTTTCCTGTTCTTTAATTTCATTTTAGTATATTTTTTCAACATTTTGGGATATGTTCAACTTTTTGCCAGTTATTGTTGAATGAATAATCTTATTTTACATTATTTTCAACAATGATTTTTATATATGTCTGCACATTTCATTTCTTACCAGATTTATCCGTCATCCAGGATATTGTGGCTTTTTCATCTGGGCAACTGGTAGTCAGATAATGCTTTGCAATCCCTTATGCATTGTTGCTTTTGCACTGGTTACGTGGCGCTTCTTCTCAACACGGATACCGTATCCACTGTTCATTATTTTTTATAGTAAATGAAAAACAATTTATTGAAGAAATAAAGCCCCAGCCAATCAAGCAAGAAACCTAAACATCTGAGCAGTGAGCAGCAAGCAAAAGGAGAAGAAAATGCTGACAACCYTATATATTGCTGCTATACAAAATGAAACCCCATGTGGCAATAAAACCGCATAGCCCACCACCAAACTCCCAACCTCCAAAGGATAAACCATTCCGCCTATTCCTCAACTGCAAAACATTGAGAGGACACTAGAGAACATTGAACCCAGCAGCCGATCAACCCAGTCACAATTTGAGATTTACTTCTTCCTCTTCTGTATCTGTTTCTCCCTATGGTATTCTTCAAGAAAGCTAAATAAATCAATATGTTATGCTATAAGAAAAGAAGAAATCCATGAATAATTCCTGAGGCCCATACTAGCATCTCTGGAGGCTTTAAATCACAGTGCAAGATATAACATTCCCATAGTCCATGTATTTTTTGCACATAAAATCCTATTTACATTTTGTCGATTTGTGATGGGTGTCTCTAGTGCTTCTTTTATAAGTATAAATAAAAACCTAGAGAAAAGCTATAGTAGTCTAACTGTCCAAGTGCATTGATTTCTTTCAAAATACATTCTAGTACCATTAGTTATCTATGTGGGCCTAGAATTTTTTTTTTTGATATTTTAACAAACTGATATCTTCTATGACTTGCATTTTTCATTAGTAATAATATTGACAGAGCCTCTTTTTGCTTTGTTTAGTAAAAGGGATTATGACACTTCTGACAGGGTTAAGAGGGCCTAAGGTTCCTTTAATGTGAGTTCTCTTTGCTTCTATCATACTTTGACCTATTTGTTCTAAATCCGAAACCTCTCTGACTTCCTGCCAAGGAAGTATTTCAGGAAGTTATTTCTGGTTTCATTATTACAGACTGTATTGCCACTTGTTTTCTAAGCTTTTTCATTGTTTTGCTTGGATTTAAGGTTCTCTTGGTAGTTGTTACAATATATAGCAGCTTGACCTAGGGCTGTCAATGGGTTGGTTCTACTCGAAACTGACAGACCTGAACCAACTGAACCAATTATATTGATTCTGTCTCTTGTTTGTTCCAAACCGACTCAGATCCGAACCGGTTATTTTGTTAATAATATATAAAAATTTCCTAATTTTTTTTGTAATTTTTATTCTATTTTATGTTTGTAAGTGTAAAAATGATAGATAATATATAAGATAATTTTGATTAAAAACATTTGATTTATTAATACATGAATAATTTGTTATTTTACTGTCAGTTTTATTAAGATTGTATTATAAAAAACCAAGTTTTAGGTAATTTATTTAAATAATTATAGCTGTCAGTATAATTGGGTCTAATAGGGTTAGACTCGATCACTTATCGGGACATTCTGGGTCTATGTTTTTGTCCTGATTAATAATTGGGACAGGACTGGTACAGGCTGTTCCGAACCAGATCCAACACGTTGACAACCCTAGCTTGACCCAAGATCTGGATCTGGATCTGGATCCATCCCCATACAGGTTTGGATTCTCAAAAGACTCGTATTCCAAAATAAACTCTGGTCTGAATTTGGCGGTGAGGATCAAGTCATAACGAGTCTGGTCAATGTGGTCATATATGCAGATTCCTTTTAAGGATCCAAATCCACATCCAGGTCTATTTCCCCATCTGTATACGAGTCTGAATTTGGATGGATCAGCGATCCAAGTATCCAACTCGTTTCATGCTTTACTTTGTGCCATTGAATCCCCATGGACTGTATTGACATTAGTGTTTGGTTGGAACTTGGAAGTAACTCATCTCCTTTACTTGAACACATAATGCAGTATTCCAGCAATTATACAAGTTTCTTACACCCTGAAGCTTCCTTATCTTAAAGAAAACAGATATGAGGAGTATTTCTTAAGGCAGTTTTTTGGATCTGAGTACGAGGAGTATGCTAAAAGGGTTCCATCTGGCGTGCCATTTATAAAGTGAAGGGCCTGCAAATAACATTGTGAGCAATTTCCTAACAGGGTTTAAACCTGTTCTAATGTTGTGTGGGGTTGGATGGGTACAAGTTGAGAGGTAATGGCAATTTTCAAAT